TCGCCGCCGCACAGTCTCCGCCCCTTGTTTGCGTTCCTTCTTTGCTTCGCTAAGATTGGCAATCCGCGGCTTCCGTCGTCCTCGTTGCTACGTATGTTCTGCGCCGGAAGGAGAGCTCGCTGACGCGTTTGGAATTATGGCGGCGGTTGATATCCGAGGTAAGTAGTGTTGTTACTCTTTGTTTTTCTGATTGTGTGGGGTCTGATTTGGGGGTTTGTAACTTGCGAAGGGAGGGTTCAGATTCCTTTGTGATGTTGTAAATGGTTTCTGTGAAGAACCGAAGGCTATAATTCGCAAAAAGTTGCAGTTTTCCCCAGCTCCTCGGGGGTCTTTTATACCTGTCGAAACGGGAGGAGTTAGAAGAAGCTCTGAACTTTAAGCCTCCAGACCTACAGTTGTGTTCTACACACATTTCTCTATAACAATATTGGGGCTCTTTCGGGGAGCAGGAGTGGCCTTTGGGTAGGGATTATGGTAATGATCGACCATATTGGTTCTCTTGTGCGACTTAGCGTAGGGACTATCTTATTTTTTTTTTTATAATTTCCTGACGCGTCCCCGAGCATGAATTCCTGAGGTTTTATTTTTTAAATTATTTTAAATTTGTAATACTTTATTGAACTCCCAGCAGTTACTAAGGGCAAGGTCGTTTTCTTCGAGCATCGAAACAGTAGTTACTTCAAGATTTGTTGAATCTTTGTGTATGTGTATGATTAACTTCAGAAACTTTACTACTTATTAGTGTCTCCTAGTTTTTATACGTGTTTTATTGTGTTGAATCATCCACTATATAGATATCAAATAAGTGTCTGTCGTTTTAACTTACAGAATTCAACTACAGATAATTCCCACAACTCCTTACATGTTCTGTAAATGGCAACCTTTCATCTTTAATTATGGCTGAATAGTATTCCATTTTTGGGTTTATCATTTCTTCTGGGTCTAGTCGTCTATCATTGGACACTTAAGTTGTTTCCAGGTCCTAGCTATTATAAGTAATGATGGATTCATGTTCTTTGGATAGATGCCCTAGAGTGACATTGCTGGGTAGTATGGTATTTCCATTTTTAGTATTTTGGAGTAAATCAGTTGCTTTCCAAAACGACTGCACCAGTTTGCATTTCCAGCAACGGTGTAGTAGGATTCCACTTTCTCTGAATCCTCTCCAGCACTTTTTATTTAATGTGTGCTGTTCTCATCGATGTGGTTTTGACCAGCACTTCTTTATTAAAAGTGATGATGAACTTTTTAAACTCCTTTTCTGGCATATTTTGCAGTTCTGCTGGTTTGAAAGTTCAGGATTTTTTACTTGAGTATTTGTGATATGTTCTCTTTTCTATTTTGAGTTCTTATGGGTTATAACAAGGGTTTTTTTTGTTTGTTTTGTTTTGTTTTGTTTTGTCTTTATACCCCTTCTACAACAAGCTGTGTACAATCCTGGGTTGTTTACCCAGGATTTTTAGGTGTCTGTTATTTCATAGAATGCTGTCTTTGCACCTGTACATGTGACCAGGGTACTGGTGCTGGTAATGAGCTATCTCTAATAGGTTACCTCCAGTGAGCGTCAAGAGTTCTAACTTCCTATTGTGCTGTGGGGGTCCAAGTTGCATGATGGGGCTCCATAGAGATCCCCTTCCTTAGGCCAGTACATTGGCCAAAATGTTTCCTATAGACGCTTGTTTGCTTCATCCTCTAGACTGGTTGAACACTATAGATATAGGGTGAGGTTGTAACTACAACTAAGATTTGGCCACAAACCAGTGTTCTCTTTTCCTTGGGGCCCTTGCTCCTGTTATTAAGGACCACTGCTTACTCTGGTTAGTAACAATTTTCAGTTATTGTCTAGGTTTTTTTTCCTTGGGTGGAGATGAGGCAATGTTTTGAGTATTACAGCTTCAGGTTGCAAATTGTACCCTCATCTCTGGTAGACAGCAGGTGTTCTGCTCTGGCTCGCCCTGCAGGTTCAGGCTCCAACTATTCTAGATCAGTTATCACTCTGCACTCTTACTCAGATAGGTATCCTGTGGTGCATCCTCTGTCCTGCATGCCAACTAGGTGTATCCCCTTCTCCAATACAGTAATGGGTTTCCCAAGTCTGGTGTGGAGCCCCTAAGTTAATAACAGAGGTTCCCCATACGTTGGCCACCCCTCCCCATCTGGCTTGCCAGTATAACTGCAAACACACAGTTTAATTAAGGGTTTTTTCCTACCCTTTTCCATCACACCATTGCTCCTGATGTATATGGTAGTTGTATTTCTATTTTCAGGAGTTGTCAGTTTTGCTCTGTTGTAATTTAGTTGTGAATTTGTGGAGGAGATGAGCCCAGCATCTTCTCTTTGTTGTCTCACCTGGCCTGTATGAAACTTTATAACTTTCATGTTTTTTTAATTGAGGTAACATTGGTATTCCATACCATGTATGTGTCAAGAGATAAAGGCTCACACCTTTTCATATGTGTTACCAGACCATCCATCGGGGCATAGTCTTCTGCCAAAGTCCATGGACACCCCATACACTACCCCCCAATGCCCTTCCCCTCTGTATGAAACTTCACATAGGTTTTTTCCTTTATTTGACCAGTCGAGTAAATGATACTGTACTTGTCCTTGGCCTTCAATAATTCATTAATAATATGCATCTGTAAACATTTGCCGACTATTGCAGATAGTTTTCTGGTAGTTTCTGATGAGTAAAACACAGTCCCAGTTCTCTAAAGGCTGAAATTTAATGGGAATACATTTGTATTCCTGATACCATGCAATAAAAGTATATAAAAACTTCTATGAGAACATAAACCATTGTTTCTGCCTTGCTAAGAAGAGGCTGACTTTGTATAGATAGTGACACTTGAAATGAATTTGACATAAATATGACCATTTAATTTATCTATTAAACTCATATTCTTTTGAGAATGAAAGGGATCTCTTGAAAAAAGGACAAAGACATAAACAGGGAAAAAGAGTCACAAACTAGATTAGCTGTGATTAATCCAGAAATAAGTTTATTCATTATATTCTTAAAGTAGACACAGGTCTACTGTCATCATCACAATTAACATTTATTGAATTATTATGAAATACTAAGCATTTTGCATATGTAATATAGCAAAGAGGTACTATGATACATAGATAAAAAAAACTAAGACAAAGGAAATGAACTTGTCAGATATTTGCTAATGTCAATATTCTTTTCCTTGTGTTTTTCTTGCTTGGGGCAGATAAGATTTGTAATTCCTAGTTCTGAGAATTTGATTCCATATTGAAATTCAGTGTATCCAAACCAACTGTATCCAAGCCAAGTTTACTACTATTGCTTCCCTAAATAAGTTATCGTTTCTAGAGCTTGCAGAGACTTTATATTTGGTCATTCAGGAAGTTGTCCCTTTTTCCTCCTAAAAATGTCTCTTTTGTCCTTTTCTTCCGGTGCATTGCCATTACTTTCCACCAGTTCCTTGTCAACTCATGTCCATATTTATTGGCTAATTCATTAGAGTCTCTTCAGTTGTTCCTCAGTCAATGCTGAAATGATCTGTAAATGTTAGTTTCTACTATTTAAGTGAGAAACCTAAAATTACCTTTCAGAAAATTTTTTCTCCATAATCTTTCCTAAGGAAGTAAGAAATCTGTAAGAACATTGCTTTAAACAAAGCTCATAACTGTAGTGTTTTAAAATTGAGAATGATTATCCTTAGTGATTTTTCATTAGAAAATCTTTTTTTTCTGAAAATGTTAATTATGTAATTTCTTATATATTTGCTTATGTCATGACTTTTTCAAAGATTTTATTTATTTATGCCTACAAAAGAGTTGGGGTGCAGACCAGAAACACAGGGGATATGGTAGGTGAGAAGATTCACCAGAATTGGAGCAGAACATACAGATCTACAGAAATACACTGCTGAGGGAAGCAGCGGGCAAGTCAGGAAAGGTCTGCTGTGCCATGTGGGTCAGCTCCCTGGCTAGGGCTGGAACTTGTGCTGCAGTGGCTACTGATAGCATCTTAGTGCTGAGACTTAGCCACCAGGGGGCCCCCTGGTTATGACATGACATATTTGTGATGAATCCTCTTATGGTCTGGGCTGATTAGTCATTAACTACTGCATCTGTTTGTTTCCTCTTTTATAATTTATATAGCATGTTTTACCTCATTTGATTAATACTTCACTTAATTAATTTTGCTTAGAACTACTAGTTAGATCAGATTAGGTCTGGTTTTTTCAAAGATGCCAGGAGCATTTGCTGTATAGGAGAGATTGAAGTTTTCAATTCTTCGACCCAATTTGTATAAGTATATTGATGATTATGTCAGACCTAGTGGGATTAAGTATAATTGTTAATGTGAAACAATATAACTATAATTAAGGACATTCAATTTATCATTTGCCCCTTAATAATTTCTTGATCTATTTCTGTCCCTTATTGGAAGCTCTCATAGACTGGTGGCTGTGGGTGTGTTTTGTTTGGCAGTTATGTTATTTGAAAATTTTTGAATTTGTTGTCAACATAAAAATTAAGGGTTTCCAATATTTAAAAAGGCCTCTTTAGTTTTCATATACTATCACTTCACCTAATCTCCCTGAACATGATATGCTTTTATATCTTCTTATCTTATCTTTGTATATATATTTTCTCTGCTTAGAATTACTTTGCCACTTTTCTTTATGGTTAACTTCTATTTACTCTTTAATATATAGTGTTGAAATCCACCTCCTCCTGTACCCTTAGGAAGAGTATTCTACTCTTCTGTGCTATAAGAACACATTTGTTGAAACATTTGGTATAGTGTAATGTTGTCTCTGCTTTCTTTATCACTTCATATGTCTTTTGTTAGCCTGTAAGAATACTGTAGGTTAAGACCCAACTATCCTTATATTATAGTGCCTTACTACATAGATTCTTAATAAAAGTCTGTTGAATTGGGTTTTGTTCTCTTTTGTCACCTTTATCGTTTTGTTTCTTTTTTATAGATAATCTGCTGGGAATCTCTTGGGTTGACAGTTCCTGGATTCCTATTTTGAACAGTGGAAGTGTCCTGGATTACTTTTCAGAAAGAAGCAATCCTTTTTATGACAGGACATGCAATAATGAAGTGGTCAAAATGCAGAGGTTAACATTAGAACACTTAAAGTAAGTTATTGTAAGGATGAAGCCTCTTTGCCATGTAGCCATTTTGCAGTGAATGTTATTTTCCAACTCTGTGAATGTAGTAACAAAGAAGTACAAGATAGAAATTTTGGGAAGAAACACTGTTTTCACTTTGTTCAAATTTGACAAGCAAAACAACTATTAATGCAGTCAGCTCTTTGTGTCTACCAGTTCTGCATTTGTGGATTTGAACAGTGGTCCCCAATGGTGGTTTGAATCCATGGGTTGCACAGCCCATGAATATGGGATGTAGGTCCACTTGGACGTGGACCCATGTAGTTCAAACCCTGTTCAAGGCTCAAGAATTTGATGTAGTTAAGCCTATGGTGGATCTGTCTGTACGTATATAGACTATCTTCTTATCATTATTTCCTGAACATATATAGTATAATAACTGTGTAACAATTAACTTATTTTAGGTATTATAAGTAATTGTAAAATGATTTAAAGTGTACAGAAGGATGAGAGTAAGTTTTATGTAAATACTATGCAATTTCTTATAAGGGATTTGAGTATCATGGATTTCGGTGTCTGGGAGACTTAGAACCTAGTCCTCTGTGGCTGCTGAGAGACAGCTAGAGACACTTGTATCCTGGAATATTTTTCTGTATAATTTTATATATCATCATTCAATTAAAATGTAGATGTAGATCTGATGAGAGTGATTTTAGTAGTCCAGTTATTAACCTTAACAAGACAACCATAAAACTGTCTCCTCTACATCTAATATGTTATCTTAAAAGCATAGTCTGATTTATCGTAAATTTTTCCTTATATGGCAAAATTTTAGCTAAACAAATGCAAAGTAAATTTCTTTAAATTTAGGATACCAAATAAGAATTTATTACTATTACAGAAGTCTCTGAAACAGCTGTGTAATTTTTCACCTGGATAATTGCAACTGGACATTAGGGAGGCTCATGAAATTAAATTTCTCTCCTATTTTAAGTAGTATTGTTACTAAGCAAATATTTGTAACTATTGAGCAAATTGTTACTTTTTTTTTTTAAGATTAATTTATGCATACAGAACTGGGGTTACAGGCCAGTGCAGGAGTGGTGAGAGGACTCTCAGACATAGAGTGGGAAGCAGAACAGGAGATAGATGAAATACACTGCTGAGGGGAGCAGCAGGTAAGACAGGAGAGGTCTGCTGTGCCATGTGGGTCACTTCTGGGACTGGGGATTGAACTCATTGAAGCGGCTGCAGCAAGTGTGCAGTGCTATATCCTACCTGATGTGCCACCAGGGAGGGCCCTAGAATAATACTTTTTTTATATTTTCTAGTTGGATAAAATAATATGGTTGACATGTAGAGTCAAGATGGTTAGTCTTTGTGTATATTTGTAGATCTTAAAAAGCATTATGGTGTTTTGGTTGCCATTTCTGAATGAATGTTCATCAGTATTTGTGACTTTTCAGTCTGAACTCAGATTTACAATTACCTTGAATTTTTTGTAGCTAAATTCTGTTTAAAAAGCAGTTCTTTCTCTCTGTTCTGTCTAATTGGGAAAATAGTGTTACTGAACAACCGTTTTTTTTCTTCTGTTTTTTTTTTTGCATCAAACATAGGTAGTTCCAATCCTATTTACAATTTTTCTCTAATATTAAACTTGTGTGTTCTACAAAATTATAGGGCATTTATAAATCTGGTTGTTTTCTGTTTTCAGTCAGATGGTTGGAGTGGAATACATTCTTTTACATGCTCAAGAGCCCATTCTTTTTATCATTCGGAAACAACAGCGGCAGTCCCCTACCCAAGGTAAATGTGTAAATTTCAGCCACTATTTTCTTCTTTAAAGTACCATGATTTGTTTACTTTCTGAAATGTATGTTCTTATTTTTTGGATTGGGTTGTTTTGGGGATCTCCAAGACCAGGTAACATGTTCAGTACTTTGCTAAGAGGACTCAGCAGGCTCAGCGTATAGTCATCCCTAAGTTTGTTATGACAGTACACTAAGAATGTACAGCCAATCATTAAGGGGAAAAAAAAACTTAGCAAGTTCAATCTGTAGGATTCCAGGTGTAAGCTCCATTCCTGCAAAGGGCAATATCAAATGTATCCTTCCTCCAGTAGTGAAATATAGTCCCATGTGTGTATGCCATGAAAAAAGCTCTGCAGAAAATCTAATGCAAACAATAAGCCAGTTTAATGAAGTAGCAGGATATAAAAATCATTATATAAAGTCAGTCTGAAGAGAAAATAAAAAAAAAACATTTATAATTGTACCAAAAAATATTAAAACATCTGGGAATAATAAAGGAAGTAAAAACTTATACAAAGAAAATTGCAAAACATTTTTAAAAGAAATAGAAAACACAGAGGAATGGGAAGAATTCCCTGCAGATGGACTAGAATAATTAACATTATTAAAATGCTATCCTACTGAAAACAATTTACAAATTAAACACAATTCCCAATAAAAATTTCAGTGGCATTCTTCAAAGAAATAGAATAAATATCAATAAAATTTATGGAACCAAAAAAAAAAAGAAAAAAAAAAACCCTCGAATAACCAAAGCTCTCTTGACTAAAAAAGAGACTGGAAGCATCACACACTAGACTTCAGAGTATACTACAAAGCCATAATAATTCAGACTGTATGGTACTGGATCAAAAGACACATAGACCAGTGGAACTGAAAATAAAGACACATATCTAGAGAAAGCTAATCTGTGTGACAAAGGAGCAAAGACTATGCAATTAAACACAGGTGGTCAGGTGGTCTGTTCAATAAATGCTGCAGGGAAACCACATACAAAAAAATCTAGAATACTACCTCACACCATGCACAAAACCAACTCAAAATGGATAAAAGACTTGAACATAAGTCCTGACACCATAACATATATAGAAGAAAGCATAGGCAAAATACTCCATGACATACATCTTAGAAAAATCTTCAAAGACACATCCTCAAAGCAAAGAAAGTGAAAGAAAAAATGAACAGCTGGGACTGTATCAAACTAGAAAGCTTTTGTACAGCAAAAAGACAATAGAAAACAAATCACCCTCCTAACTGGGAGAAAATGTTTGCACTCCATACAACTGATGATTTCAAAGATCGACAAAGAGTTCACATGATTCAGCAAAAACAAACCAAACAATCCATTCAAAAAATGGGTAGAAGAGCTGTAAAAAGGCACTTTTCCAACAAGGAGATATGAATGGCCAACAGGTATATACAAAAATGTTCTACTTCACTTATAATCAGGGATTGCAAATCAAAACCACAATGAGAAACCACTTGACATGGGCGAGACTAGTACATATTAAGCAAACTGGTGGCAAAATACTGGCAAGGATGAGGAGAAAAAGGAACCCTCTTACACTTGTGGTGGGAATGCAGGATGGTCTAGTCACAATGGAAAGCTGTTTGGAGGACTCTCAAATTACTAGAGTGGAGCTGCCATATTGACACAGAAATTCCATTCATAGGAATTGACACACACACAAAAACACAAAAACATTCATTCTGAAGGAAATCTGCACTTCTGTATTGTAGCACTATTTACAGTAGCTGAGATGAACAACCTGAATGTTCAAATACAGATGACTGGGTAAAAATGATGTGGTATATATACACAATGGATTACTATTCAGCAATCAACAGATTAACCCATGCCATTGTAGCAACATGGATGGCGCTAAATGGGATTATGCTCAGTGAAATATGTCAGAAGAAAAATATCGGATGATTTCACTAATCATCCAGGGATATATGGGAACCAAACAAGGGATTAGGAAAAAACGAAAACCAAAAAACACAACTAGCAGGCAAACTATAAATTGGAGACTCATCAAGGGAGAAGAAAGGATCGGAACAGAAGGGAAAAGCACAAGAGACTGGTGATTGTTTATGAATGACTTGGTGATGTGAGTTTTTTGGGGATTACACCTGAGAAGAGAAATCACACATTGCACAAATGACAATAATGTAAAAAATATATACATATAAAGTAATGAAATTTAAGAAAATCATTACTGTTTTTGCTATACAAACAGAAAATAAATTTTATGGGGATTACACTTGAGAGTAGAACTCACACATTGTACAGAAATGTAATGTAAAAAATACATATATGTAAAATGAAATTTAAGAAAATAAATAAACTAAAATTGGCTTTGGTTTCAAAACTCAAGATCTAGAGTCCTGCCCAGAGAAGGAGAACCTGAAGCTGCACTGAATGGCATGCCTCACTAGCAGCTGTTTTTCCTTAGGCCCCAGAACTGGTGCACAAAGGCAAGTTCAGGGCATCTGAAATTTTCACCCTGTTTGCTAAATCTCTCTTTCTTGTGTTTAAGTAATACTGACAGCAATATTGTATCACTCCAGATTTTGTGAATTCATGTTGCCAAGATATTCAGATGTACATTAAAAGTTGAGAAGCACTCCTCTGGGTTAAGAGTTGTGATTTTTTTTTTTTTTCCTGTGAATGCCAGAGTAAATATTTAGGCTCTGTGGGCCTTATGGCCTCTGCTACAGCTGCTCACCTAGTGTTACAGCAGCTGTAATGTAATCATATAACTTAGTGACTGTAGATTCTAATACAGCTTTATTCATAAAAACAGGAATTGCCAAAACTGTGCCTTTAAGCTTTAACATGGAAAAGGGCAAATTTTAGTTCTTTTAATGAAAATTTGCTAAGCAGCTTGTGTGCATATATTCATAAAAAAATTTCTTCCCTCCTAAAACCGCTTTAGTTATCCCATTGGCTGATTACTATATCATTGCTGGAGTGATCTATCAGGCACCAGACTTGGGATCAGTTATAAACTCTAGAGTGGTAAGTGTTTCATATTCTTAAACACTAAAGAAAACTTGTAATTGAGTTATCTTGATTTTAAGAATCAAATGAAAATTCCCCTCCCTTGGGTAAGTTAGTAAAAAGTATTGACTGTTAAAATATCTTGAGCCCTGGTTACTCTGGGCCATCTGCATGTTAAAAACATATACTATAATCTACCCAAAAGACACAAAAACACTGATTGAAAAAGATACCTGTACCCCCATGTTTATTGCTGCTTTATTTACAATTGGAAAAACATGGAAGCAGCCCAAATGCCCAAAAGTAGATGACTGGATAAAA